GTGTCTTCAGGCAGTTTTCTCCGGACGACGAGACGGACCTTGTGGTGGTGTCCAATTTCAGTTTTGGGCAAAATTGTGGTTCTGGACTATTTTGCCTCTTTGCACGTTCGAAAATTTTTCAATTTTGGGTGTTGCAAATTGCAAGTTCTTCGTGATTTGATAGAGATTTTTCAGAGATGGCTTCGGTGAAGTATGATATTCCGCTACTAGATCGCAATACAAGACTTTCGCTATGGCAAGTAAAGATGAGGGCTGTGTTGACTCAGATAGATCTTGATGATGCTTTGCTGGGTATTGAAAGGATGCCAACAAATTTGTCTATGGAGGAGAGACAATGGAGGGATCGGAAGGCTGTTTCATTGATTCATCTTCATTTATCCAACAATTTGCTGCAAGACGTTTTGAAAGAGAAGACAACGGCTGCTTTGTGGCTCAAGCTGGAGCAGTTGTGCATGACGAAGAGTCTGACGAGCAAACTGACTCTAAAGCAGAAGCTGTATTTCCATCGCATGGCGGAATGAGGGTCACTGCAGGACTATCTTCCTGTGTTCAAGGAAATCGTTGCAGATCTGGAGATACTGGAGGTAAAATATGATGAAGAGGATCTGACCTTGATCCTGTTATGTTCGCTACCCAGTTCTTTTTCGTCATTTCGCGATACTATTTTGTATAGTCGAGACACGCTCACCATTGAGGAGGTATACGACGCTCTGTTCTCAAAGGAGAAGATGCAGTTGTTGGTTGGAGATCCTACATCTAGGAGTGGAGATGCTTTGATTTCTCATGGTGAACGACAGAAGGGTAGGTCGAAGATGAGGTACATCAATGTGTATTGCTTCTATTGCAGGCGAAAAGGACACTTGAAGAAAGATTGTGACAAGTTTCAGGGTAAAGATAATTTACATGTAAATCATTTGGGGCAATCTTGTACTTCGAACGGGACTAATGTAATTGAGGATTTTTCGGATAGCGGAGAGGTCTTGTTGGCTATATTTGACGTGGAATCTAAACAGGATGAGTGGATTCTTGATTCAGCGTGTTCGCATCATATGTGTTTCGACAGGAATTTATTTCAGACATATGAGACTGTTCAGCTAGGTGGAGTTGTCATGGGAAACAACCAGTCTTGCCGTGTTGTTGGGTCGGTCAAGTCAAATTGAAGCTGCAAGATGGAACTGTTAGAACACTTGGTCAAGTTCAACATGTTTCAGACCTGAAAAGGAATCTTATTTTGTTAAGTACCATGAATGAAAAAGGGTATAAATTCTCTGGTGCAGGTGGAGTCTTGAAGGTTCGAAGGGGTGTTCGGGTCGTACTCGAGGGATGGAGGAGATCCCAGTTGTATGTTTTGCAGGGAAGCGCAGAACCTGTTAAAAAGAGACATTTGGAAAAGTTCAGTACCGTAGTGGACATTCAATTTGGTACAATTCCTCTTGTGTTGGGCTATGGATCAGTTCATAACATTGCTAGGGAAAGCGTTGGTGATTCTGCTTTGCCACCAAATTCAGCAGTTGCACTATGTTCAAATGCCAGGGGGAGATCCATGGAGCGTAGGTACAGTATTGTCAATAATGTCTAGGATGCTATGGAGATCATTGAAGGTGATAGTTCTGGCAAGGAACCTTCTGATCAAGCACTGTGTTTGGTTTCTGCTATAGGGTGTGCTTCAACCCTGTTTGGTCAACAGCAATTCCTTGGTGAAATTTTGGGAACCCCGAGTTTTGGGTTCAGGTGTCGCTTGTGGACGCCGGGCGGGGGAACGTGTTACCGTGGAGAGTTTTGGTTACTGTGTTGAGGAGATTGGTTATTTTGATGCAAACGGATTATTTCTCAAGGTGAAGAAATTTTGGAGCTTCGTTCGTTGTATCGAAATTTGAGTCAAGGTGGAGATTGTTAGAGTTGGTGACTCAAATTGGAAAGGAAAACTTGTAGATGCGTGATGGATTTGGAGAATCAAATAGTATCCGGAAAATAAGGAAACAAAGTCCTTGTCTCATTTTTTTTCTTTTCACGTTTAACCTAGAATTCTTACTTTTTAGGACTCTTTTAGCGCTAGACTCTTGTGGTATAAATATGAGTCTCTACTTTTAGTATTGTTGAAGCTAATTGTTGTAATTCTCTCCTTTCATTGATGGAATAAAATAACATCGTTCCTCTGCCAGTTTATTTCTTTACTTTAATATTTTTCATTATATTTTTGCGATCTTGCATTTATACTTCAAATTGGTGTCCATTAAATCTCAATTCTTGCATTTCGTTTCCACCCGGTCCCAACAATAACAACTAATGAATTATAACATGTAGAGAAAGAAGAATGAATCACAATGAGACCAAACAAAATTGTATCATTCAATGAAACCAAAATTATCATGGATTACTCCAACTTCATTGTTTGCTGTAATATTTATTTTGTGATCAAGACTAATGGGAAGATAGAAATATTCAATTTTGAATTTGAGTCTGGTGGAACAGACAAATAATACCTTATAGAAAAGAGAAAAGTAAAAGTTTGGAGAATCAACAAATAATGGTGTAAATTCGCCGAAGCAAATTAAACAAGGCATCAAAGTGTTATTCCAGGTGCCTTAAAAACATCGTTGCAAAAGTTAGACTAGGACTATAAACTAAGGTTTACTGGAAGGAAATCCAATCTTTTTACCCTTTATTTATAATGATTTTGGTAATTACATTGCATGTAGTGAGTAAGGATTGCATTTAGCACTTAGGCACATGTATCTCTTGTTGAAGATGATTTTCCAAAATTTTAGGGTAGTGCTCCTAGGATCACAATCGTGTCAAATTTCCTCTCATCTTACATTCCCAATCCATATAGGATTACTATTAATTTAGATATGCTTATATTTGTGGTTAGTTTTCCTCTCTTTCTAGTTATGATCGAAACATATTGCAAATGAACGAAGGAAAGGAAATGAGGATACAAGGTCAAGTACTACAGAAGAACATCTTCATATACACAATGAGTATTACTAGCCGTATTAAGCAAAATTTTCCATATATTGAGGATCATGTGTATTTTAAGTTTAACGGTGGAATAACTTCATTATTTGTTTGTTTGTATGATTTACCATAAAAATTGAAGGTAAAGAAGAAAAATTTTAAAACATATTTTCTTAATTTATTTGTGCCAGTGTAAGTTGGATATCTTTTTAGATTAGATGATTAGTATTTAGTAGTATTGACGATTCATGAACAGTGATTAGGCAATCAAACTCTTTGCTAGTTCGATACTTAATCTGTGAGATTTTATTATATTAAGCACAATATACATGAACATTGTCATCTATTTTTGAATTGGTTGCAGTGACAGTACAGGTTTAATGGACTTAGGTTGAAAAACTAAGATCAAATTGAAAAGATAACCTAACCTATTTAAATGATTAGTTTGGAGGTGGTTTATCTAATGTTGTGAGCTGTTCAGATACTCGTTGATTTCATACTTATTAAATACTTTTGCGGAGTATGTTTAGTTAACAGGTGGAACCTAGGTACTAACCACACCCTAGGAGTGTGATCTTTTAATTACTTGCCCTAAAAAACAAAAGGCATTTCACTAGTTTTGGCACATAAGAAAAATTTACCTAATTTGTAGTATGGAACTAGTCTCGAGTAATCAGACCTTATTAATGAACAATATTTATAAGATTATATAATAGGAAAGAAGATTGCCTACAGTGTAGAGTAAAAAGTATAACGAGTGAAAAGATCCCCAAATAGAAGAAACACCCCAAACTTCATGTTTAGTTTAAATTCATGATACCAAGNGTAAAAAGTATAACGAGTGAAAAGATCCCCAAATAGAAGAAACACCCCAAACTTCATGTTTAGTTTAAATTCATGATACCAAGCTATAACACCCCAAATTTTGATAAACTTTGAAGTGTCACCAGAAACTCACTTTTATTTGTTTTAAATACGGAATGATAAAATTAAATTTATGTAAAAATAAAATATTGAAATATCCATGAATTTAAACTAAACATGTAAAATTGTATCCTTAAGAAAATAAACATCTTCAACTAACCAATTGAATAACATGACTTTGAAGTTTGAACTTTAAACCAACTAATAAATTTAAAGACGGAAAAAAATACTTAATATTTATTTTTACTTTTCTTTGTTTCACTTGACAGCCTGCATTCATCATCCCGCCATAAATCCAATCGATCCGAACTAACCTGTAAAATTATTGTAAAAATGAGTATTTAAAAATACCTAGCAAAATACGTATAGTTTCTATACACAATTATACAACAATAAAATAAACATTTCATACCACTCTTCTTTTATAGAGTATATCGGTGACCAAACGGCACACCTATCCTAGATCATCTTAAATTCACGTAGGAACTCATCTCTCTTTCTAAAGAACCCAAAGGTCCACTAACAATTCATGCATATTTAATTGTATATAAAAATATACTGAAACCATCCACTTGTACAAAAGTATCTTACCTCGTCATTGAACTGTTAGAAAGCATAAAATCTTGCATATAATTTTTTTTCTCTATTTTCTGTACTTTATTCTCTCCCTTCTCTCTACCATGTCTTTCTTTATTTTTTGTGGTGAAATAATGAGAATTCTTGCAATATTTATAGTTGAAATTCTCAACTGAGTTTATATGCAAATAAAATTGAAAAACCACGCAATACAAGGAATTTGGATAAAAATTGGTTTCAAATAATAGAGTTAGTTGTAAACTCTACTATTGGGTTTTTAGTACAATCATCCCATTGAAAATAAGACATGTGGCGAACTTGGACTTGGTTTTAAAAAGAAATTTGAATCGTAGTATAATATTGATTTCATATAAATCACGTATGGTCGGAATTAAAAGAGGAAAAAATTATTTAATTAATATTGCAAGCCCCC